CGGCGTTCAATGAACGCAACCCCCACATGACCCAGCAACAAGAACCAATGCCAAGGAGCCCAGTTCCACGTGTTAAAACGAGTTGTAAGTTTTATATTACAAAAACCTTATCTCCCATTTACCTAACTGTTGAATAACTTTGCTTGTTTTGCATTTATCAGTGGCGAAATCGTCGTCAAATCGTTGCAGGAGGGTATGACTTAATACCGGATATGAGTCATATCCGCGGATATGACTTTTAATACCGGATATGACCTATATTTTACAAAGTAATTATTTTTTATGAATTTTTCTTGATACGATGTTTTATAATTATAAAATGAATTTACATGCCAAATTTCGTTAAATTTGGTCCATAAATAAAAAAGTTATAAGTTATATTCGAATTACGTTCTAAAAAGGGGGTTTGCCTAAAATACGAAAGTGAGTTTATTGACGAAAGTGAGCGAAAGTGAGTGAAAGTGACTTTTAAAATTTGAATTGTACCATTTTCATAGAATTTTACAGTAAAATTGCTGTTTGCAGACGTATATTATTAGCAACTTATTATATTTCTTTTCATAAATAATCAATATGATGATTTAATCGCCATTTATTTGCATAATTTCTATTCACAAGTTCTGAGATCTTCCTTTCGCTCATTTTGAAAAATACGAAAGTGACTTGTAAAATATTAAATATAGGGTTTAAATTGAAATTTATACTAAATTTGCAGTTTGTAGACGTATATTATCAGAAATATATAAAAAAAATTTTCAAAAATAGTCAATATGATGATTTAACATTCATGTATATTCATGTACCAGATATCTAACGATACGAAAGTGACTTGTTCGGACGAAAGTGAGCGAGAGGAACCAAAAGTGACTTAATAAAATTATTAAATATATAGCGTTTAAATTAAATTTTATATAATTATGTAAACGTATATTATAAAAAAATGAATAATATTTAATTAAAAATGAAACTTAAAAAACATTATTAAAATAATATATGTTGTGTTGAAATTAAGTTACAAGAGCGTTCAGTTACAGATAGTTTGGTATTAATTTTCAATATACCATCTGCATCCAGGCCACACCACGTGGAGGAACTCTTTCATGGCCCTTTTTTTTTTTTTTTTTAAATTTAGTAATTTTGTTTGGTTCAAAGCCGTTTAAAGCAAGCAAAAAATAAAAAATTTTTGGTCTAAAAATGTTGAATAATCTCTTTAAAAGAACTTATCAATTTAGTTGTGCAATAAACATATAATTCAAATTATCAAAATATTTTTTATGTAATCATTAGTTTTTTTTAAAAATATTTATATAATATACTTTTAATATAAGTTGAAAGAAAACAGTAGATATTATTTTAATGTATTTTAACATTTGGTAAGTATTATAATAATAAAATTTATACTTACATAGCCTGAAAATAATTATAAAATAACCGGAAATATGAAAACAACAATAATTGAATAAGAATACAATGAGATTTATATTGCTTTATTAATGATAAATCAACAGTCGGGAAATATGAAAACAACAATAATTAAATAAGAATACAATGAGATTTATATTGCTTTATTAATGATAAATCAACAGTCGGGAAATATGAAAACAACAATAATTGAATAAGAATACAATGAGATTTATATTGCTTTATTAATGATAAATCAACAGTCGGGAAATATGAAAACAACAATAATTAAATAAGAATACAATGAGATTTATATTGCTTTATAAATGATAAATCAACAGTCGGGAAATATGAAAACAATAATAATTGAATAAGAATACAATGAGATTTATATTGCTTTATTAATGATAAATCAACAGTCGGGAAGTTGTCATACTACCGGGTAGGTCTTACGCCCGACAAAATTACGAATCATGTGGGAGTCTACGTTTAGCAGATGGAGTTCTGGAACGTTCTGCTCTTTTCCTTTTAGTTTGGTGTGGTTTCATTCCTGCTGTTGGAGTCTTTATGACAGTCCTTATACCGTTAGTTGATGTTACAGTGTGTGTGGTCTTACCGGGGTCGGCGCGAAGGTTCTTAAGTTTTCTTTCCTGTTGTTCGTGAGTCAGACAAGACCACGATGAGATACACACATCATGATGGACATGTGTGTTTGCAAGTTTTTAATTTCCCATGTTTCGGATAGCTCGCTCTATTTCTTTCCTTTCACTTACCACTTTGTCCATCCATGTTTTAACAAACTCCGGCATTGAACTCAATTTCCACTGAGTTGAAGATTTTAAAATGTGGTTAGCACTTTCTGCATTATTGCTGGTCCAATTATGCGGAACTTTATTCTGTCTACATGGGATAACCACATGTTCTTTAATAAGGGGTACTAGTTTCTCCGTTAAATACTTCTTGTAAGTCTTCTCTTTCACAGTGTCAAGTTTAGTAACAATCTGGGTGATGTTTTCTAATCTACAAGAAAATGTGTCGTCATCATTGTTATCGACCAAGCCGTCTTTGTTAAAAATTAAATCTACTATATTTTGGCGTTCTTTCAACGGGTAGCCTACTTTATCTTCCATATATTTCAAGCTATTATTCCTTAAATGTCTGGTGCACAGCACATGTGTGGCATTAGGCAGGCAGTTTTCTATTGCAGCCATGAATGAACCTTCCTCATCTGATCCAATTATTAGCTTTTTTCTCTCTGTAGGTGTTAATCTGTCTCCAATTTGATGCAGGAACGCATTGTATGCTTCGGTTGTGGACGATGTATGAAGAAAAGTGGGACCAAAACATATTGGATGGTCCATTGTTGATCTTCTAATTACAGACATATCTTTATAGACTGTAGGTGTGACAAAAAATCACCAAGGTTATATGTCTTGTCAATGTTAAGAACTGTACCACCTTCCCTGCAACAGAACCTCTTAATGTCATTCATCTGGTGCTGATCGTACAGTGTTACTACTGCGTTTTTCACCCCTTTTATAAATTGAACATTTTGTACAAACTCATGATCTGCTGTCATGTCTAATAGTGCAAGTTCTTGATCAGCAGCATTTGCATTTGGTTTATTTAATTTGTTTAGGTTATATCTAAAATTCCTAAGTTGCTTATCATCGCGTTGCTTTTCGAAATCATCATCTGTTTTTTTGTTCATTTCCTTCTCTACTTGTTTAACTGTACCATAAGCAAGTTTTTTTTTCAGTGCTTCTGCAACTTTTGGTTTAGTTTTAATGTAAACATCATTCCTTTCTTTAAATTTCGTATTTCCGTGCATCTAGTGGGCCTGTATATTTTCCCACGTATTCGACGATTGCTACATTTTCATTAATGTAATTTAATTCTTCTGGAATATTGCTGAACCAGGTTATGCGCCTTTTAAATGGTGCTTCACCATTAGAGCACTTCAGTGTATTATAATGCCTCTGGACTTTCAGGATATCCTCAGGTTTAGGTTGGGGTTCAAGAGGCAGGAACACCTTCTTTTTGTTTACAGGTTTTTCAATGCAATATGCTCCATTCTTTAAATATACTGTTATTAATTTTCCGTCCTTTTTCATAAACAACTGATTGGGACATGCAGGTCTCTGCCATGCACCACAGTCGTCCCATATTTCAGTTCTTTCGCCTTTGATCCTTTTAGATGTATTTTCTGTGTTGTCTATCACAAAATACATTCCATCTTTACGGCCAATTGGTATTTCTGCTAACACAGCATGAGGACCACGGTATATGTTAACAATTTGTTCGGTATTCATAAATGTTCGTAGAGGCCCCGGTTGAAATTCTGGAACATCTTCATCCTCCTTGTTGGTTTCCTCGTGGGTATAGTCGTTGCCGGAAATATCAGAGTGATGTAATACATCCGGAGAAGCAATATTGCCTTCCTCTGTGATGGGCAATTTTCAACTTCTTTTTCTGAACAGTCAGCGTGTTGTGATACACCCGGTGAGGTTATATAACCTACCTTACTGACCGAATATTCTTCCTGAATTGTTGATAAGTCAGACAGGAACTTCTCATCAATCTTTTCTGGAGATTGTGGCGAGTTCATTGATTCTATAAAAGATGGCCATTCTTCATTGTTTAGTGTGTTTTCCTGTACTGACTCAAATGGCCGGAGTTCGTCTTTTTCGATGACTTTCATCCTTACTAAGGGGACAAAATGGTCCGGTTGCCATACATCTTTACGTGGAGTACTGCCGAATCTAGGCCTTTTGGTTGGGGCTTTGCTGCTGGTCCACATTATTGTCATCGCTGGACGATCGGGGTCTACAAATGTTGGTCGGAACGTGGTGTTCATTGTTTTGAATGTGTAATTTTGGGATCCGTTTACAGCTGGATATACGACGTTGACTTTAGTTTTAAGTGCATTGGACAAAGCATAGATGTTCTACATGGATGACCAATTTCCTAGTTTTGGACAAGTTAGGCAGGCGTTGTCATAGTCATTGCAAAGGGGCTCAAGTGTCTTGTACAATCGGCTGCGAAATGTTCGCTCCCGCTGTTCAACTAGCTCTAAGGTCATATCCGTGGCGGATAGGGGATACCGAATATGACTTATTTTTTTATGAATTGATTATTTTTTTATGATTTTTTCTCTATACGATGTTTTATAATAATATAATTATTTTACATGCAAAATATCGTTAAATTTGATCAATAAATAAAAAAGTTATAAGTTATATTCGTTGTGTTTTCTATAAAAGTTAGCGATAACAACCGATTATCCAATAATATGGCGCCTCAGATCTGTCACCATGTCGTATATATCTCAAATAAATTGGTCGTTCCTATTGAAAACAATGCTTAAAAAATATAAATTTCCTAGATGTTCTGACTCATTTTTTTTTTTGAAGACAATTTTTTCTTTTTTGAAGACACTGTTTAACTTACTCCTTTCAGGCCAAACATTTGCCAAATATTGCATTGTGACATTTTAAAAAAAAATTGTGGAACATACTGGAATCGCCGCACGGGCTTTTAGTAAGTTTTTACAAAATAAAATCAGACAGAATTAAGCGCTGCATTCAACAAATCAACATCAGTTTTGCCCATCAAACACACGGGAATTATTTTGTGCTCAGTGTCTTACTAGTGAAACTTGAAAAATGGTTTCAAAAGAATTGAATTGAAATTTGATTAATTTATGCTAGAAATTTCACACGTCCTGCAGGACGGGCATTTTTGGGAGATTAACTTGTCCAGAGTCATTTTTACTCGTATTTATCATTTATGAGCGGACAAGTGGATTTGTCGAGCCTTGATTAACTGCAAGTGATTAACCACATTATTTCCATAAAACTTATACTACATGTAATTACATTGTATGAGATAATAAATCATTTGACTTAGTAGTGAAGTAAGTTTAAGACTGCATAATATTGATATAAAAGTGAATTCAGTTAGTGGGTTCCAAACTACAGGTGGAAACTGTTCTATTTTCTATTCAAGTTTATTTTTGATGAAACATAACTTATTTCCTGACAACAGTTATATATGCTTAACAATGTTGTATTTTGATTCTTTCAAAATCTGTTGAAAATATTCATAAATTCATGAAAAGAAGTTAAAAAAAAGAGAAAGAAATGAGATTTGGGCATAATTTTTAAGAAGATAAAGATACTTCAATGAAAAAGTAAGATAGGTAACAAAAATCAATCAAATGAAAAACACATTTAAATATCAAGTTGTTCCTGACATGTCAGAACAAAATTAATAAAAACTTTTTTGAAATCTGGTAACCTTGAGCTATGTTCTCTACCGATTGAGCTATTCCGACAATTATTACTCACTTTTACAATTGTTAGTCAATCATATCTGGACATGCAACATTCCACTTACCCATATATATGCCTTTAAAAAGGACTGTTTCGACTATAAATACTTGAAATTATAAAGAAATTGCCCTATTATTCTTTACAGTCTATTGTGTATAGGCTAAATTTAGGAGACACTTGTGAAAATATGCAATGAAAAATGAATAATTAGATTGAAAATACAGGAAATGAAAATGAGCATTTTACTTTATCAATATTTCTTAATGTTTCATTGAAGTATGTAATAAATTAAAAGAAATATTGTATTAATTAGGAAAAGTTTTTATTTCAGGTGTGTGATTAAAGGCTTGTTTGTTAGATTTCAATTGTGGCACAGTTGGTTGTTTGCTGAGAAGCTGTGAAACGTAATTATACAGGCCATTAAGGTAAAAACATGTTAGCTTTTTTCTGACATTGATATATATATCCATCTTACTGTAGCAGAACAAAAGAGAACAATAGAATTCATTCCATTACAATAGAATATGGGGCCATGGCCCTTTAATAAACAAAAGGAAAAACAATAGTATAAAATGGTCCTTTATCCCTTTTCGGTCACACGGGCAAACATTTTCTTCAAGTAAGACCATACATTATATATGTTAGAAAGTTAAAAAGGAAATGTTCATTGTTATATATATATTTGGTTTGAAAATCTTTGTACATTTACAATTTTGACCAAATAGTTTCTCAAAGTATTTATTTGACATTAACTGACATAATTAGTGGCATATGTTTCTAACTTTTCTTTTCCAGGAGGTTTTTGTCAGATTGATGAATGTGAAATTAAGAGGACCCATTTTGAGAATGCATCAAGAGAGATAAAGTCTAAAATGTGATACTGTCAATGTGACTAACCTTGAAGTAAACAGATGACACAATGTTTTTTCAATGTCATGGGCATATAATGAAGAGGTACATGATTATTTGTATACACTTTTCCTTAATAAATACTTTCTTAATGTTTGACATGTTTAAAGGCCAACACAGGACTCAAGGCTTATTTAAATCAGTAAGCTTGGCACTTAGAGCCAAATGTATATAAATTATTTCAATACCATTTCATTATGCAATCTGTTGTTAATTTAGGAACAAAAGTCGATAGCAAAAACATTTTAGCCGTGTCATGACAAAACCAACATAATGGGTTTGCGACCAGCATGGATCCAGACCAGCTGGAGCATCCGCGCAGTCTGATCAGGATCCATACTGTTCGCTATCAGTTTCTCTACTTGTAATAAGGTTTGTAAGCGAACAGCATGGATCCTGATCAGACTGCGTGGATGCGCAAGCTGGTCTGGATCCATGCTGGTCGCAAACCCATTATGTTGGTTTTGTCATGACACGGCTCATTTGTGACATGCAATTCACTTAATATGTATTTTGAAATTCAAGTTTTCATTCCTTTCACCTCAAGGCATTTGAAATAGTGACTTCATGTAGTAAGCAGTCAGTAAAATCTAATCATCTCATCTTGACTTAGCTGTATATAGATTATCAGAATCACTCACATTTACAAATTTATATGACTTTAAAAAGTTGTGTTACTAAGCAAATAAATAGATTTAATTGGGGTGACCATAGTCAAAGTAATGTACCTAAACCACTTACCTTTAAAGATATACTATGCTCATCAGTAAAATATTTTAATCATGAAAATTTATTGAATTCTATGCAATTCTTTTTGAATATGTCTAATTTGAATGAATTAACTATGCATTGGAAGCCATGTTCCTTCTTACGAGCCAAAAAAAAAATTTGGTCCTTCTTAAAAAAACTGTTAGTTTCCTAACAACACTATATATTTATATTGTGACCACCTATAGCGTGTGGTGTTTAACATTACATAGCTACTTTATGTAAACACAAAACATGCTTTTTTATGTTTACAAAGAGACTGTGTAGCAATTATCAATGTTCTATTATATTTAATGGATTCTTTAATGTGAGAAAGCAATCCAGCTAGCTTTAAAAAAGGCGGTGGTTCTACTCAGATGCTCGTTTGTGAAATCTGCACAGAGGGGTTGAGCTCTGGCATTGGTCGCGCATTTTTTGGTTTTATACCTTTATAAATCAGAGTAATTCTAACAGAAAAAAGCTGAAAAAAGTTAACATACAAGTATGGAATATCTCGGTCAGCAATAAACTTTTTCAAAACTCTATTTCAGAAAACAGAGATGCTTGTTTGACAGATACAGTAATAGTAGGAGTTATGAGGGAAGATAGATTGCAGTGATAACTATATTGAGGCACCACTTCATCACCAAGAACATGAGATGAATTATCAATGTTTTCAATGTGTTTGAACACCCATTTTAAATAATACAGCTCAGAGTGAATTTTTCAAAATAATTAATTCTGTTTTCAAAGTTTTTTATTTAAATGTGAGTTGATCTTGTCAAGTACTTTATTTTTTTAGGGATGGCAACAAATACTAAAATCAATACTCGAGTACTCGGTCATTTTTCGGATCGTCGGGAAGTTGTCATACTACCGGGTAGGTCTTACGCCCGACAAAATTACGAATCATGTGGGAGTCTACGTTTAGCAGATGGAGTTCTGGAACGTTCTGCTCTTTTCCTTTTAGTTTGGTGTGGTTTCATTCCTGCTGTTGGAGTCTTTATGACAGTCCTTATACCGTTAGTTGATGTTACAGTGTGTGTGGTCTTACCGGGGTCGGCGCGAAGGTTCTTAAGTTTTCTTTCCTGTTGTTCGTGAGTCAGACAAGACCACGATGAGATACACACATCATGATGGACATGTGTGTTTGCAAAGTTTTTAATTTTCCCATGTTTCGGATAGCTCGCTCTATTTCTTTCCTTTCACTTACCACTTTGTCCATCCATGTTTTAACAAAACTCCGGCATTGAACTCAATTTCCACTGAGTTGAAGATTTTAAAATGTGGTTAGCACTTTCTGCATTATTGCTGGTCCAATTATGCGGAACTTTATTCTGTCTACATGGGATAACCACATGTTCTTTAATAAGGGGGGTACTAGTTTCTCCGTTAAATACTTCTTGTAAGTCTTCTCTTTCACAGTGTCAAGTTTAGTAACAATCTGGGTGATGTTTTCTAATCTACAAGAAAATGTGTCGTCATCATTGTTATCGACCAAGCCGTCTTTGTTAAAAAATTAAAATCTACTATATTTTGGCGTTCTTTCAACGGGTAGCCTACTTTATCTTCCATATATTTCAAGCTATTATTCCTTAAATGTCTGGTGCACAGCACATGTGTGGCATTAGGCAGGCAGTTTTCTATTGCAGCCATGAATGAACCTTCCTCATCTGATCCAATTATTAGCTTTTTTCTCTCTGTAGGTGTTAATCTGTCTCCAATTTGATGCAGGAACGCATTGTATGCTTCGGTTGTGGACGATGTATGAAGAAAAGTGGGACCAAAACATATTGGATGGTCCATTGTTGATCTTCTAATTACAGACATATCTTTATAGACTGTAGGTGTGACAAAAAAATCACCAAGGTTATATGTCTTGTCAATGTTAAGAACTGTACCACCTTCCCTGCAACAGAACCTCTTAATGTCATTCATCTGGTGCTGAATCGATACAGTGTTACTTACTGCGTTTTTCACCCCTTTTTATAAATTGAACATTTTGTACAAACTCATGATCTGCTGTCATGTCTAATAGTGCAAGTTCTTGATCAGCAGCATTTGCATTTGGTTTATTTAATTTGTTTAGGTTTATATTCTAAAATTCCTAAGTTGCTTATCATCGCGTTGCTTTTTCGAAATCATCATCTGTTTTTTTGTTCATTTCCTTCTCTACTTGTTTAACTGTACCATAAGCAAGTTTTTTTTTCAGTGCTTCTGCAACTTTTGGTTTAGTTTTAATGTAAACATCATTCCTTTCTTTAAATTTCGTATTTCCGTGCATCTAGTGGGCCTGTATATTTTCCCACGTATTCGACGATTGCTACATTTTCATTAATGTAATTTAATTCTTCTGGAATATTGCTGAACCAGGTTATGCGCCTTTTAAATGGTGCTTCACCATTAGAGCACTTCAGTGTATTATAATGCCTCTGGACTTTCAGGATATCCTCAGGTTTAGGTTGGGGTTCAAGAGGCAGGAACACCTTCTTTTTGTTTACAGGTTTTTCAATGCAATATGCTCCATTCTTTAAATATACTGTTATTAATTTTCCGTCCTTTTTCATAAACAACTGATTGGGACATGCAGGTCTCTGCCATGCACCACAGTCGTCCCATATTTCAGTTCTTTCGCCTTTGATCCTTTTAGATGTATTTTCTGTGTTGTCTATCACAAAATACATTCCATCTTTACGGCCAATTGGTATTTCTGCTAACACAGCATGAGGACCACGGTATATGTTAACAATTTGTTCGGTATTCATAAATGTTCGTAGAGGCCCCGGTTGAAATTCTGGAACATCTTCATCCTCCTTGTTGGTTTCCTCGTGGGTATAGTCGTTGCCGGAAATATCAGAGTGATGTAATACATCCGGAGAAGCAATATTGCCTTCCTCTGTGATGGGCAATTTTCAACTTCTTTTTCTGAACAGTCAGCGTGTTGTGATACACCCGGTGAGGTTATATAACCTACCTTACTGACCGAATATTCTTCCTGAATTGTTGATAAGTCAGACAGGAACTTCTCATCAATCTTTTCTGGAGATTGTGGCGAGTTCATTGATTCTATAAAAGATGGCCATTCTTCATTGTTTAGTGTGTTTTCCTGTACTGACTCAAATGGCCGGAGTTCGTCTTTTTCGATGACTTTCATCCTTACTAAGGGACAAAATGGTCCGGTTGCCATACATCTTTACGTGGAGTACTGCCGAATCTAGGCCTTTTGGTTGGGGCTTTTGCTGCTGGTCCACATTATTGTCATCGCTGGACGATCGGGGTCTACAAATGTTGGTCGGAACGTGGTGTTCATTGTTTTGAATGTGTAATTTTGGGATCCGTTTACAGCTGGATATACGACGTTGACTTTAGTTTTAAGTGCATTGGACAAAGCATAGATGTTCTACATGGATGACCAATTTCCTAGTTTTGGACAAGTTAGGCAGGCGTTGTCATAGTCATTGCAAAGGGGCTCAAGTGTCTTGTACAATCGGCTGCGAAATGTTCGCTCCCGCTGTTCAACTAGCTCTAAGGTCATATCCGTGGCGGATAGGGGATACCGAATATGACTTATTTTTTTATGAATTGATTATTTTTTTATGATTTTTTCTCTATACGATGTTTTATAATAATATAATTATTTTACATGCAAAATATCGTTAAATTTGATCAATAAATAAAAAAGTTATAAGTTATATTCGTTGTGTTTTCTATAAAAGTTAGCGATAACAACCGATTATCCAATAATATGGCGCCTCAGATCTGTCACCATGTCGTATATATCTCAAATAAATTGGTCGTTCCTATTGAAAACAATGCTTAAAAAATATAAATTTCCTAGATGTTCTGACTCATTTTTTTTTTTTGAAGACAATTTTTTCTTTTTTGAAGACACTGTTTAACTTACTCCTTTCAGGCCAAACATTTGCCAAAATATTGCATTGTGACATTTTAAAAAAAAATTGTGGAACATACTGGAATCGCCGCACGGGCTTTTAGTAAGTTTTTTACAAAATAAAATCAGACAGAATTAAGCGCTGCATTCAACAAATCAACATCAGTTTTGCCCATCAAACACACGGGAATTATTTTGTGCTCAGTGTCTTACTAGTGAAACTTGAAAAATGGTTTCAAAAGAATTGAATTGAAATTTGATTAATTTATGCTAGAAATTTCACACGTCCTGCAGGACGGGCATTTTTGGGAGATTAACTTGTCCAGAGTCATTTTTACTCGTATTTATCATTTATGAGCGGACAAGTGGATTTGTCGAGCCTTGATGTAACTGCAAGTGATTAACCACATTATTTCCATAAAACTTATACTACATGTAATTACATTGTATGAGATAATAAATCATTTGACTTAGTAGTGAAGTAAGTTTAAGACTGCATTATATTGATATAAAAGTGAATTCAGTAAGTTGGTTCCAAACTACAGGTGGAAACTGTTCTATTTTCTATTCAAGTTTATTTTTGATGAAACATAACTTATTTCCTGACAACAGTTATATATGCTTAACAATGTTGTATTTTGATTCTTTTAAAATCTGTTGAAAATATTCATAAATTCATGAAAAGAAGTTTAAAAAAAAGAGAAAGAAATGAGATTTGGGCATAATTTTTAAGAAGATAAAGATACTTCAATGAAAAAGTAAGATAGGTAACAAAAATCAATCAAACGAAAAACACATTCAAATTTCAAGTTTGTTCCTGACATGTCAGAACAAAATTAATATTTATTTTTTTTTGAAATCTGGTTACCTTGAGCTATGTTCTCTACCAATTGAGCTATTCAGACAATTATTACTCACTTTTACAATTGTTAGTCAATCATATCTGGACATGCAACATTCCACTTACCCATATATATGCCTTTAAAAAAGGACTGTTTCGACTATAAACACTTGAAATTATTAAGAAATTGCCCTATTATTCTTTACAGTCTATTGTGTATAGGCTAAATTTAGGAGACACTTGTGAAAATATGCAATGAAAAATGAATAATTAGATTGAAAATACAGGAAATGAAAATGAGCATTTTACTTTATCAATATTTCTTAATGTTTCATTGAAGTATGTAATAAATTAAAAGAAATATTGTATTAATTAGGAAAAGTTTTTATTTCAGGTGTGTGATTAAAGGCTTGTTTGTTAGATTTCAATTGTGGCACAGTTGGTTGTTTGCTGAGAAGCTGTGAAACGTAATTATACAGGCCATTAAGGTAAAAACATGTTAGCTTTTTTCTGGCATTGATATATATATCCATCTTACTGTAACAAAACAAAAGAGAACAATAGAATTCATTCCATAACAATAGAATATGGGGCCATGGCCCTTTAATAAACAAAAGGAAAAACAATAGTAATGGTCCTTTATCCCTTTTCGGTCACACGGGCAAACATTTTCTTCAAGTAAGACCATACATTATATATGTTAGAAAGTTAAAAAGGAAATGTTCATTGTTATATATATATTTGGTTTGAAAATCTTTGTACATTTACAATTTTGACCAAATAGTTTCTCAAAGTATTTATTTGACATTAACTGACATAATTTAGTGGCATATGTTTTCTAACTTTTCTTTTCCAGGAGGTTTTTGTCAGATTGATGAATGTGAAATTAAGAGGACCCATTTTGAGAATGCATCAAGAGAGATAAAGTCTAAAATGTGATACTGTCAATGTGACTAACCTTGAAGTAAACAGATGACACAATGTTTTTTCAATGTCATGGGCATATAATGAAGAGGTACATGATTATTTGTATACACTTTTCCTTAATAAATACTTTCTTAATGTTTGACATGTTTAAAGGCC